ATCTATCACATGCGATGGACTGTGCACATATTTTCTCAACAGAAACACGTGAAACACATTATACAGTCCTGCCAACCTAGAGGGTAAAGAAACACAGTACACAATCTCACCGATCTTCTCCAATATCTTAAATGGTCCAATGTATCTAGGACTCAACTTTCCTTTCTTTCCAAGCCAGATGACTCCTTTCCGTGGTGATACTTTCATGAATACCATATCCCCTACATGAAACTCTAAATCTCTCTTACGATGATCAGCATAACTTTTTTGTCTACTCTGAGCAGTCAATAATCTCTGTCTAATGGTTATAATTTTTTGAAAAGCATCCTCCACCAAGTCAGGTCCTAACAATTGCCTTTCACCAACCTCATACTAGCACGACGGAGATCTATACTTCATCCCATGCAAAGCCTGTCACGACCCAAACCCGCCCCCAAAAGTTTGGTCCATGACCGGCCTGTACATAGGCCTCAAAATAAAATTTCAAAACAATACTTATCCAAATACGGGGCCTTAAGCGGAAGCAATATCAACATAGATAAAATGCCCATTGAGCTTATGCATACGTGAAAATTTAGAGTAATGTAATTCTTTAATTACGTTTCCATATTTACAATAATCACAGACTTATATAGATCACACACACACACACACACACACACGCACACACACGCTTATATAAGACTCCATAAATTACATAACTCCCAGTAATCAAAATTAAGGCCTCAACACAGAGGCATATCCCAGGTAGCTTGGTAGACAAGTGGATCTCAATACATTTCTAGTGTCAATCCCCGATGGCTCACCTACATAAATATACATAAAACGGAGTGAGCAAGGCTCAATGAATAATAGCAATGTAAGGAGGTTAAGTGAATGAGCATAACCTTGAGGAATATAATATACATATATCAAACCATACGTAGGACCTATCCATAATTGTATTCCGGAACGGCCTCAAGCCCACATGTAATACAGAACGGCCTCGGGCCCACATATAATACAGAATGGCCTCGGGCCCATATATGATACAAAACGGCCTCGGGCCCACATATGATACAGAACGGCCTTAGGCCCACATAATGACAGCTGTCCAAAGTGATGTAGGAAAGATGGAACATCTGCATGTCTCCATCTTCCTTGGCGTAGATCCATTAGTCATATACAATTCATATCATTATAGGGTAGATGGAACATCAGCATGTCTCCATCTCCCTTGGCCTTAGGGCCATGAGTCATAAACAATTTACATCATAATGGCCTCAAGCCCACTTTCATTAATAGTGACAAAACGACCTTAGGTCCATATCAACACCATCGTTCAATCAAGTTCATTAATTCAATTAAAGCAAAATGTCAATAGCATATGTTATTCACAAACCATGATATATAAATCATAACCACAAGAACTAAATAAAACATATCGTTACACTACTATTACTCACAATGATGGGCTTCCGATAGCAATGGGACGATGTCCTCGTCTTGACCTAGAAACACAATGCACATAGCATAATATGAGGATATAATCAATCTCTTTCTTGTTCTTTGATCAATCAGTCATGGTGGTTCTAAACTCACTAGTCCTCAATAGGTCATAATCCGTGTCCAAAAAAATAGGAGGAATCGAAAGAAAAATGGTTTAGAAGAAGAAATGGTATAAAATCGATAGATAGAAAGTGAACAATTGTCACTAATTTGGGCATATCTATTTGTGTACTTAGATTTTAGGAGTGAGACCACCACTATTAGAAACTAGACTTCCGGGGCTTGAATTTAGGCTCAAGAATCACTTAAAACGGAGTCTGGATGTGAGAGATATGCTTATTTGAAGTTGGCTGAAATGGAGCTGTCCCGCACATGCGGGACCACGTGCTTTTTTAGTAGAATCAAACTTGGTGTTGGAAATGGACTACTGCACATGCGGGAAGGCCCGCCGCACGTGCGGCTCTGGGTCAATTTTGCTGTCCGAAAAAGTTTGATGGTTTTAACACTTGTTTTTCCACTTTTTAAGCTAGATTTCTACTCTAATCACCCAAAAACATGTAGAATTACACCACAATATGGCAAACTAACATCAATCAAGTGTAATTCCATTTCAAACAGACCAATCTTGCCTCAATGTTCAAGATCAATGCTTTATCTTTCATGATCTTCAAAGTTCTCAAAACACAACCCACAAATACACTTGATTCTAAAGTTCATTTCATGTGGTATTCATAAGGTTGAGCTCCAATCATAAACAAAATTATAGAACTCAAATTCTAATTCTTTAAATTTAGCTCAAGTAAATACTCACATAAAACCCTAACCCAAATGGGTTCAAATCTTCCAATATCACTATGATTTCATGAAATTGATGCTTTAAACATAAGGATTCAAGATAGATTGTTATACCTTAGTTCAATCTTTGTCTTTCTCATAGTTCCCTTCAATTTCCCCAAGCTTCCATGATTGATCTTCTTCCTCTCTCTTCAATCTCTTCAAGTTTATCTTCAAGCTCCCATGAATGGTGAGCTCTCTCTCTCTCTCTCTCTCCATATATATATATATATATTAGAGAAGCTTCCTCTCTCCTTTGCCCTCTCTTTCTTTCAGTTCTCTCCCTCAGATATTTTGTTTTGACTCTAAAATGGTGAGTTCAACAACTCATATGGCATATCTCTATATATATAACATATAAGCTTACCACAATAGGGAGAGCCAAATGCGGCCTTACGAATCGTACGAAATCAAATTTCAATTAAACTTCTCAGACGACTCTAAAAATTATGCTGATCATAACTATATAATTCGTTCTGGTTTCTAAAGCCTCTAAGGCCTTTAATTTGTAGTGCAAAGTTAACCACCCAAACACACCTTAACGAATCAAACGAAATAAATTTCCAATTAATTTTCCCAATTAGCTCTAAAAATTCCCATTAGCATATGCAAATACTCAATTTTGATTTTTGAACCCATAAAGGTCGGCAATTTCAATTTTAAAGTCGTATCTCAACAGATAATGCTTCAATTCAAAAGATATAATCACATTAAAGCACATTAACCCATAGGTAAATAAAGACAATTTCTGATACGCATTTTGGGGTCATTACAAAGCCTCATAAGGAGCTACTCCTAGATAAGAATGATAACTATTATTATACACAAACTCCATGAGTGGAAAATAATCATCCCAATTACCTCTCCAATCCAAAGTACAAGCCCTCAACATATCCTCAAGGGTCTGAATAGTCCTCTCTGATTGCCCTTCTGTTTGAGGGTGATAAGCTAAACTAAAATTTAACCAAGTACCCATAACTGACTGTAACACACCCTAAAACTTAGACACAAAACGAGGGTCCCAATTTGACACTATTGACACAAGTGCACCTTGCAATCTAAAAATCTCCTTCACATACAGCTGTGCAAATCAAGCAAGAGAATAGTTCATCCGTACTGCAATAAAATGTGATGACTTGGTTAATCTATCAACAATTACCCGAACTGCATTGTGATTACTATTAGTACAAGGTAATCCACATACAAAGTCCATGGTAATATGATCCCACTTCCACTCTAGTATAGGTAAGGGTTGTAGTTTCCCTGTGGGTTTCTGATGTTCTACTTTAACCTATTGACACACCAAACACTGAGCTACAAATTCTACAATATCTCTCTTCATACCATGCCATCAAAAATGTTCATGAAGATCCCGATACATCTCGGTGCTTGCATGATGAATGTTGTAACTAGAACTATGTGCCTCCATCATAATCACCTTCTTCAAATCACAAACTCAGCTACAGAATCTAAGTACACCACCATCACTAACCACAAAGTCTACATGCTTACCCTATGCCATTTTTCCTTTAATATGCCCACACTAGGAGGCAATCTCCTGAGCCAAACGAATTCATTCTCTCAAGGTCAGCTGCACTGTCAGTTGACTACAATAAGCCCTGTCACCAGGTGTAACAACCTCAAGCCTCAAATGTCTCATGCCTTCCACCAAACAACTCTCAATAGGCAAAGCAACTACATCTCCAACTGTGACCTTTCTACTCAAGGCATCTGTTACCACATTTGCCTTTCCCGAATGATACAAACTATTCACATCGTAATCCTTTAGCAACTCAAGTCATCTTCTTTGCCTCAAATTTAGTTCCTTCTGTGTGAAAATATACTTCAAACTCTTATGATCAGTGTAAATCTCACATGACTCTCCATACAAAATAATGTCGCCAGATCTTAAGAGAGAAAATCACTACTGCTAACTCCAAGTCAAGTGGGCTTATACCAACATGAGAGAGTGTCAGCCACACTCACAGTATGTGTTTATGTGACTAAGGTGCTTATGTGGAGTGAATTAAAATGTGGTGTAGTAGGAAGCATGAGGTTGCTTTAGCCTAACGTGTGAAGCTAGTTGCGAGCACATTTGGAATCATGTGCTTAATTATTTACCTTGTCTCTCAATTAGGATGTCAGGAAGAGTTCGAACCTGAGGTGGTAGGGGTGGAAGGCAAGGTTGAGGTCGCCGGGGTGTATTTGAGGTGCCGGTCAAAGAGGTCCCGGTACAAGAAGAGGGTTTAGGCCAAGCCGACATGGCCGAACAAGTGGGGCAAGCGGAGGTGCCGGGGCAAGCCGGCCAAGCCACAATGGGGGCCCTAGCCTGGGAGATGGCGGGGGCATTGAGGGAGTCCATGAACATATTGAGGGCGGAGACCCAAGTAAGGGAGAATGTCGCCGAGACTAGAGCTAGCTTCCTCACGAGGGAGCTTCTAATGGCCAAATCGGATGAATTCCATGGCGGCCCCGATCCAAAGAAAGTGGACGAATGGTTGGAACAAACCGTGAAGACCTTCGAAATGCTTCACATAGATGATGGCGAGTTGAGGGTGACCCTTGCAAGTTATTACCTCAAAAGTGACGCCGGCCAATAGTGGAAGTATGCGAAGGGCCGGATAGCACCGACATGGGAGGCATTTGTGACGGCCTTCCAAGACAAGTACCTACCTCCCATGGCTAGGGAGAGGTTGAGGCAGGAATTCAAGGACCTTAAGCAGTTAAATATGTCCGTGGCCGAATTTGAAGCGGCTTTTTCTAGTTTGTCCCGATTTCCACTGGAATTGGTAGCGATGGAGGAACGTCGTTGCTTTGAGTTTGAGCGGAGGTTGAGGACAAAGATTTTGTTCAAGGTTGCCAGGAACATGATCCGAGGGTATGATTGCCTTGTGGAGGCGGCTACACATGTGGAGATTACGATGGAGGCCGAGAAGGAGAGACTTCGAAATTCAAAGTCTAGGGGCCATGGATGGCAGGGAGATTATAGGCTCAATAAGAAGAGTAAGAGTGCCTTTTCATTCCAGTCTCAGCAGCAACAGTCTAGATCCACCTTTCCCTTGCCTAGTGCGGGCTCGGAAAGGGGTGTACCGAGTGGGGTTTCTTGCTTCAAATGTGGCCAGCCGGGTCACAAGGCCTTTGCATGTCCGCAGAAAGGGGGAGGATAGTAGATGTTGCCACCACCACCACCTAATCGATCCCAGAGCCAGTCTCAGTCTTAGAGTAGGGGGCAGGGGCCTACTTGTTTTCAGTGTGGTCAGTCAGGGCACATGAGGAGAGCTTACCCACAGTTGAGAGGCACATCTGGCGCATCCGGGTCGAGGCAGACCTAGAGTCATCAGTAGACTCATTTAGTCCAGACTTTGAGGGTCCACCAGGGAGCCGCCTCGGCTCAGTCAGTACAGCAGGCCTATGCTCCGAGAGATGAGCAGGTTGACCAGAGGCCACAGAGGCGCGTGTATGCTGTTTCAGCGCCAGAGCAGTTGCTAGGACCTTCAGTTGTGAGAGGTATATTTATTGTGTGTAATTCTTTGGCCAATGTGTTGATAGACACGGGTGCGTCTCATTCATTCATATCTACTGCATTCGCATCTGCATTGGCGTTAGAAGTGGTACAGTTAGTGTCTCTGCTCAAAGTTGAGTCACCGATTGGGGGTACAGTTGACCTAGATCGGGGATGTCGTGACTGTGAGATAGAGGTTGCCGGGCGTAGACTCCCGTTTGCTTTTGTGTTGTTAGACATGTTCAGTTTCAATGTTATTCTAGGCATGGATTGGTTGTCATTGTATCGGGCTGTGATTGATTATTTTCAGCAAAGAGTCACAGTGTGCACTTCGGGTAGTGATTGTTTTTATTTTCTGGGAGATAGGGTTGATTGGGTTCTATCACCGGTGTTTGATCCTCGTAGTAGGAACGAGCTTAGCAGCCTTCTAGCTACTCTCTTGGATGGTGAGAGTGTCAGAACTCGAGTTGAGTTGCCAAGGGTAGTGTGTGAATACCTGGAGGTGTTTCCCGAGGACCTTACCAGTTTGCCACCCCACCGGGAGATTAAGTTCACCATTGACTTAGTGCTTGGAACGACACCCATTTCTATGGCGCCATAAAGATTTGCACCTGCGGAGTTACACGAGTTGAAGATCCAACTCCAAGAGCTTTTAGACAAGGGCTTCATTTGCCCTAGTACGTCGCCTTGGGGAGCACCAGCTCTCTTTGCGAAGAAGAAGGACAGGTCATTAGGGTTGTGTATCGACTACCGTAAGTTGAACCGAGTCACTGTCAAGAACAAATACCCTTTACCCAGGATAAACGACTTGTTCAATCAGCTTAGAGGGTCTTGTTGCTTTTTGAAGATAGACTTGAGGTCGGGGTACCACCAGTTGAGAGTCCGAGAGGAGGACATTCAGAAAACAGCCTTTCATACGCGTTATGGCCACTAGAGTTCCTAGTAATGCCATTTGGGTTGACTAATTCACTGGCTTCTTTTATGGATTTGATGAATCAAATATTTAGGAAGTACTTAGATCGTTTTGTGGTCGTCTTCATGGACGACATCCTTATTTATTCGACCTCCGAGGAGGAACATGAAACTCATTTGAGGATTGTGCTTGACTTGCTTAGAGGGCATCAGTTGTATGCCAAATTTGAGAAGTGTGAGTTCTGTCTCACTGAGGTGAAGTTTTTAGGCCACGTCGTGTCAAGAGAGGGAGTAACAGTAGATTCCTCGAAGATAGATTCTGTGCAAGATTGGGAGCAACCTAAGAATGTCTTAAAGATTTAGAGTTTCTTGGGGTTGGCCGGGTACTATTGTCGATTCATAAGGGATTTCTCTAGATTAGCCACGCCTTTGACTAGATTGACTAGAAAGGGGGTTAAATTTGTGTGGAGTGAGGCTTGTGAGAAGTCTTTCCAGGAGCTCAAAACTAGATTGATCACGGCGCCGGTATTGATCATTCCGGAGAGAGGATTTGGGTATCAGGATTTGGGGTATACCCCAAATCTTTTGGGGTATACAGTCTTTTTGGGATGGGCTTGGTTGTGTTTTGATGCAAGAGGGAAAGGTTGCAGGGTATGGCTCCCGACAGTTGAAAACTCATGAGAAGAATTACTCTACCCATGACCTAGAATTAGCCGCAGTAGTGTTTGCCTTAAAGATTTGGAGGCATTATTTGTATGGTGAGAAGTTTGAAGTTTTCTCTGACCATAAGAGCCTGAAATATTTGTTCTCCCAAAAAGATTTAAATTTACGTCAACGGAGGTGGATTGAATTTTTAGAAGACTATGATTTTGAGTTGCACTATCATCCGGGCAAGGCCAATGCGGTGGCCGACGCCTTAAGTCAAAAAACCGTGAGTAGCTTGGCGAGCGTAGCCATTAGGGAGTGGGTTATGTTGGGTGAAGTCGGCAAATTTCAATTACAGTTAGGTGAATCAGAAGGAGGTGCAACCTTATTTAGCTTGTGTGCGCAAACTGTCTTGATTAGCAAAGTCATAGAGGCACAACAAGGAGACCGGGAAGTGGAGTTAATCCGGGATAGAATCACCAATGGGAAAGAAGAGAAGGGTTTGAATATTCGCTCGGATCAGAGTGTACGTTACTTAGATCGCCTGTTTATGCCTGAATCTTGTAGAGAGGAAGTGCTTCGGGAGTTCCATCACTCACGCCTTACGGTACATCCGGGAGGCACCAAAATGTATCAAGACCTTAACCGTTAGTTTTGGTGGAGGGGTATTGTCACGACCCAAACCCGCCCCTATGGGTTTAGCACCGTAACCGGCCAGTAATCCGTGATTACCGAAGGCCTGCTTAACAGTAATACAGAGTACAAGGGCTGGTGGAAGCCAAAACAGTAAATGAAAGATGTCCAATGAGCTATGACAATCTGTATGCAAAAAGACTTTTCATAACATATTCACATATGAAACAAAAAGCAGTATGTACATACACCATATACAGGCATTCAGGTTAGGGACCAAATCCCTACCATAACAGTACAGTACAAGTCTATACAGTATTATAAAACAGAGACAGAAGGGTGAACTGAGACACCCCAAACGAGCCTAAGCTTGAACACACTTGGAACCTCGCAGTGACGCACGTTGGTTGGCTTGACAGAAAGGGGGTTTAACCCAACGCTCCTAGCTCCGATCCGGTGCCCAGACACCTACATATATATATATATATATATAAACAGTAAGCTAAAGCCGAGTGAATAACATATGTGTAAAGAGGTTAGGAATGAATGTCCTTTCAGTATTTAAAACAGTCATTTGAACACTATATCAGTTATTCGATCATAGCAGTCATAAGTGGTACATCCAATAGCAAACAGTACAGTAGGTCTTAACAGACCGAACAGTCAGTTGATGGTCATCATATCAATAAACAGTAGTGGTTCCAAACATAGGAACCAACAGAGATCTCTGTGACAGTAGCCGTACAGTACAGTGACAATAGCAGTACAGTACAGTAACAGTAAATTGCTATAGATGCCACGAATATAGTTCGCAAATAAGACAAACATTCATTCAGTAAGAAATATCATTTCAGAAAGCAGTACAGTTGATCATTCAGAAACTATTCGTCATTGAATATATCTTTACAACATTGTTACTCACAGAGCACTGGGCTATAAGCTCTTAATGAGCGTCTGTGGATGCCAACCCTACACAGTTACAGAATGAACACACACTAAGTTACACACTTGGGTTTGATAACTTAACCCCTAACTTATCTTGGTGTGGTCCTACATCAATATCCTCCTTAAGATACCTTATACATGCCCTAGGAATGCCTAGGAAGGAAAGAGGATGCAAAGATGCACTTTAAAACACTTTTAAAAATTTGCTGAAAACAGGGGTCTCGCTCGAGCGTGGCTTTCTACGCTCAAGCGGACATGCAGATAAAGGATCTCCGCTCGAGCGGGACTTTCCTCGCTCGAGCGGACTACAAACATAGGCAAAAGTACTGAATGCATGCAATTCACGCTCAATGGGCGCTCGACCTCTGCTCGAGCGTGAGACACAAGTCCTCGCTCGAGCATGCATTCCTCACTCGAGCGGACTGCAAACATGTGAAAAGTACTGGATACACGTATTTCACGCTCGAGCGTTATTTTCCCCGCTCGGGTGGGATGCATGTACTCAGAGTGTACGCTCGAGCGTGAAGTCTTACGCTCGAGCGTGGGTCCAAAATCTGGAATTTCCAGATTGAACCTCCAAGCTCAAACTCAACTTTTAAAATATCAAATCCGATCCTTTTGGACTAATTTTCTAGAGAACACTATAAAACCCATAATATGACATGTTTCAAAGATCAATTTGCAAAATCAAAGCCCAAAGGTAGTTCAATTAAACACAAATCCAAACAAAACTTCAAGAACATGATGAACATATGACATGCAAGTGCTCAATTGAAGTCAAAGCTTCCAATACATAATCAAATGAGTCAAAACTTCCAAAAACATGATGAATTCATGAACTATAATCAACATATGGACATGTGTAGACGTCCCCAAACGTCCCGGGAGGGAGATCCTGTTCTGTTCATTTGGGCTCACCACAGTTCAGGACTCAAACTCACGATCCTGTATCTAATCTTGCAGAGTACAATGCAAGACTGATGAATCATCAAAGAGTCCAAATCCGGCAAATCGTTTTTGAAAACAGATTTTTTTGAAAGAAGTGCCAAGCAAGGACTGCTTTGCCAGATACAGAGTCGCCACCTAAATATTTTATTTTGGGAAATTTAGGAAACCCTGACTCGTTGCCTAAGGCCACATGTCCGTCATCACCAAAGTTGCCTCGGCTCGGGAACTTGAGTACGATTAGAGAAGTTCACTTCGTGAGCACCCCCGCTCGCCCGATCAAAGATCGGCCTCTACTAACCATGATATCTAGTTTTGAAAACGTTATGTGCTCTTATTCCGGTTATTAGCCTAGATTTACTATGTGATGCGCATAGCATACAAATATAGACCGGATCACCTGAATTGGAACAACACATTTCATGTTTGTTTCTGAAAGCGGTTTGCTACTCGCAAGTAGGCTAAAAATGCAGATTTTGCCACCCTCTGGTGGGCTTAAAAAACAAGATGATTTGCCACTCTCAAGTGGGCTTAAAACTCACAGTCAACGCATTATTCCAATTCAGATAACCTAACCTTCACCCA